ACATAGACATAGACATAGACATAGATATAGATATAGATATAGATATAGATATAGATATAGATATAGATATAGATATAGATTGCCATGTTTGCCCAAAAATAAGACCTAGCAGAAAAATAATCAGACTTGAAAACTAGAGACTGAGAATGCCAGCCCCAGGGTGCCCTGAGACAGCAATTGAGACTGGGCATGGTGGCGCTTGCCTGTAATCCCAGTTCTTGGGATGCTGAACACAAGTGGATCACTACAAGTCCAATCTAGTAGTGAGACCCTAAACACCCTGTAGACCCTTCCCTAAAATACAAAAAAGAAAGAAAGAAAGAAAATGCCAGCCCCATCGCTATATTTGTCCTTCAAATAAGCGTCTCATATACTCACATTGACTATGTCATACGCAAATGAGATTTTGAATATCCAATCCATTTCATGATCTGAGTTTCTCAAAACATCCTAAAAAACATAATTCAAAGTATCAGTAGTGATTGAAGCTAAAGCACAGTGAGCATCAGACACTTAATAAGTTAACTCTAGTGTCTCTGATATTGTTGGCCAGAGCTGATATAATGTGAAAGAGAACACATTAAACTTAACTAAGTTGTAATCTCCCCATGAGATACCAGAGCCTAATTCAGTATTGAAAAGGTATGTCCATAGCCCCACCTAAGGTCCCCGGATCTCATTTGCCTCAGAAGCCAAGCAAGGTGGGGCCTGGTTAGTAACTGGATGGGAGAAAGGATACAGCCAAGTTTTGCCAGCACTTTGTGTCAGACATAAAGCTGATAATCATGTGGGCCCAAGAACACAGTTTGGGAACAGCCATAACATCTTACGAGAAGAAACCAAGCCCATAGCTCAGACCAAAGGGAACTAGATCCTTGGCAACTCCACCGCTAATTTGATTCCCAGCAGAAACTCAGAACAGATAATTCAGGTCTTGCAATTAGATTCTCCAGGGCAGCTGTCTCTGCATGGGCAGGAGAAAGCCTTGATAAGCTCTTTATTGGCTACCACTAACCAAACCTGAGTTAGCCTTGCCTAGTTTACTTACCTTAAGGCTTCCTCTTTTGCAGTACTGGGTGACAACACAAATGTTAGGTGGTTCGGTGCAAATACCAAAGAAGGAAACAAGGTTTTCATGTTTTAATCCACATACCTGGAAAAAATGACAAGAGCACACATAGAGGGTCTCTTGGAGCTGTGCCATGGGGGTGACACGTCTTTAGTTAGCTTTTTGAAAGACTTTGTGAGACAAGCAGTACTACTGTTCCTGCTTTATACATGAGGGAAGCGATGCCTAAAGGTAACAGAACTTGTTGGTAATCATTGAACTTAAAAGTAGCCAAGTTGGAAGGTGCCCAGAAGAATGGTCAAAGTCTAAACTTAGCTGTGAGTTATATTAAACCATGTCACAGTAACATGCCCCAGCCCTGTTTCCCTGCTTATAGATCTTGAGGCTAGTGTGCAGGGCTCATCAGTTATGAATACTGAACAAGAGGTCACACTCACTCCAGAGTACAAGCTCCAGGTTACTAAGCTGCAGCCACAGAGAGGGAGGGTGAAGGGCCAGAATTAAGGGCAGGAAAAATAAATGGGGGAAGTGGAGGCAGGAGGGATCGGGCTCCAGATGCCTGGGTCATATCTGAGGCATGCATCCTGGGCAGTTGGGGCATGGGTGGTGGGGCAGTTAGGGAAGGAATCTCCCCCCACCGTGCCCGTGGGAACTGGCAGAGAGGGGACTCACCAGCTGGGCTTCCTGCAGCACAGTCGGTTTCCTAACCCAGGCACCTGCTTGCTCACCAACGTGGTGGATGGCTACACGGTTTCCCTGGAATCAGACAAAGTGGAATGTTCTTAACTAAGGATGATCCAGATGCAACTCTGTTCAGAAAGGGTGAGGGAGGAGAGCAGGAAGACTCCCTACAAGAAACCCACACATGTGGGGGGAAGGCAGGATGCTCAGACTGCAAGCCAAGCCTCATGGTGCTGCCATGCTGTGTCCAAGCTCTGAGCAAGCTACTCAGCAGCAAGCCCCCACTTCACTGACATCAAAGCCCTGCACGGTGGGTTCAATTAGCCCACTTCTAGATGGGGTCACTGAGCTTGGGAGACTTGTCCAGGATTGCACACTGGTAAGCAATGCGGCCAGAACCAGTATGTCTGACTCTAAGCCCACACTCTCTCTACTAGGTGGTACTGTCCCAGTATTCAGAGCAATAATTATTCAGGTCATACATATAAGTCTGGAATCAGATGCCTGATTCAAAGCCCTGAGCCATCCCTGGATTTAACATGTCCAAGCCTCCATTTCCCCATCTCCTAAGTGGAGATTAGAATACACCAATCTAATAAAGTTATCATAAGGATTATAGCAGTCATAAAACATCACACTGGAAACTCAGTGCCTGGCACACATGAAGTTTTCAGTACGTGTCATCTCTTATTGTTACTAACTCTTAAATCTGCTTTTAGAATCAGTCATTCACCACAAAAAATATATTAATGTGTTAAAAAAAAATACTGAGTAGGAGAAAAGATAGAACTTGTTCCAGAGAGAAGGCAAGCTTCAATGAATTAAATGTCAGCCCCAGACCTGACACTTTCATTGTGAAGGTAACTGAAAAGGACTTGATAACATTTCCACAGAGGAAGGGATGCTGCGTTGGTACTCAGAAAAGGACAGTGAGAAGTAACCCTTATTCTGAGCTCTGCAGGATCAGAAGGGTCCCCACGGTCTGTGCAAGCAGAACAGACGTAGCCCAGGTCACACACGCATGAGTGTGAGACATGCGTGACATCACCCGCAAACCCAGTTGGCTGAGCATGAGATTTATGCTTCTAAAAGTAAGTTCCTGGGTTTGGAGAGATAGCTCAGTGATCTAAGAATCTGCCTGGCAAGTGCGAGGAACTGAGTTCAATCCCTGGTACCACATGCCATGCCAGTCCCTAAAACCAGGCATCATAACACACACCTGTAATCTCAGCACTGGGGAGGCTGAGACGCAGGGGGATCGCTGTGCATCTGAGCTTTAAATACATTTTTTAAAATTAATTAGAAGTAAGCTGGGGCCAGGTAGTCCCTAAGGATCTTGGCTAGATAGCCCAGGAGGCCTTTGTAGTTTAAAAACTTAAGTAGGAAAAAGATTCAGCTCCACAGGAAATGAGTTGGCTCCAACCACTCCAAACCCCAGTTTAAAGCAATGAGCAATTCTTCCCTTGCTTGGAGCTTTCTGCCTTTACTTTCCAGGCCCTCATGTAAAAGTTAAATAAATAAATACAGGATTTCTTTTTCTTACATTACCTTGCCCTAACAGGCTGGAATGTCGGAAGGATTTCAAAGCTCTCCAATCTGGGCTGTTGAAAGGAGGGAGCAAGAGGACCGTTCCTGCCTGGGAACGGTGTCGCAGCGTCAGCAGCTGCCCATGCTCACCCTGGAGAGCTCCGTGCCCACAGCCAAGGGAGTAAAGTACCAGGGACAGAGCAGCCCTCCCTCTAGGACTGTGCTGTCTGTTAAGGCAGCCTCCAGCCCCATGGGACTATTTCAACTTAAATTAAGAAAAATTAGCTAAAATATAAACTTTTATTAATGGAATTTTAAATCCCACTCCCAGGCACACACTAATGTTAAATCATCCTATGAGGCTGGTGACTAGACTATTGGATAGAACAAATTTGGGACACATTCATCTCCACAAAAAGTTCTAGTAAGGGACCGGGGAGATAGCTCAGCAGAACAAGTGCTTGCCTGGCAAGTGCAGGGTCCTGAGTTCAATCCCCAGTACCGCAAAAAAAAAAAAAAAATTCTAGTATGGATTATAATCTAGAAGCGATATAGACATCCACTGAGCTGGTTAGAAACACAGTCTCAGGCTCCACCCCACACTTACCTAGAGCCTGCATTTCTCAAACATTTCTTTAAAATAATAATTAATATATAATATTTGTATATGTTTATCTGCATTCTTTTTTCATGCATTTGGTGCAGGGTCTCACTACACAGCTCAGACTTCTAGTGATCCTCCTGTTTTCAGCCTCCCCAGCGCTGGGATTACAGGTGTGTGAAACCGTGCATGGACTCATTGCTGGCTGAGGGGGCCCAGGGGGGGGCCAGCACAGCATGTGGTGCCAGGATCAAACCCTGATCCCTACACTTGCTTGAGCAGGGCTCAGTCCGCCGAGCTATTGCACCAAGCCTTATCTGCATTCTTAATAAAATCCCCAAATGATTCCTATGCCCATTGAAGTTTGAGAGGCCCCCATCTGGAGGTACAAGACCACATTGGCTTTGGTGTGGCACAAGCCCTTCTATTCAGAATACCCTGCTGAACTGAAGGACCAGTGCAACATGGGACAGAGATATGCATTAAGACCTACATGCAGCCGTCTGGCCCCAGAAATACCTGGTAAAGCCCTATTGCAGCAGAAAGCAGCTCTTCCTCCTGCTGGCTCTCGACAAAGTAGCAGAGGTCCACAGAACTCATCCCACTGGACACATTGCTGAGCTCACTTCTGGACATGACTGTGGCTCTCCATGATGGCTGTAAACCAGATGTGATTCCGTTGAGTTCATGGTCCTCCACAGTGTGGTCAGGTGCAGAAGGGACCATGTACTTTATGACTAAGGAATAGAGCTCCAAGTTCACACGTTCAGTACTCTTTACTATTAGTACCTATTCATGGTAGCCAGGGATTACATTCCTTGGAGGGAGAGTAGGTATGTGTGTGTAACATCTTAATTATTTATTCACTCCTCCTCTCCTCCTCCCACTTCATTTCTTGACCCTCTTCCCAGTTGAGAGAGAACTACTTACTTCCTATTACTTAGCATTTATTTTGTTCTTTCTTATATTTTGGACTTCTCATAGAAGAGAAACTATGTGACATTTAGACTATGTGATGTATTTCACTTGACATAATGGCTTTGAGGTTCCTCCAATTGGTTCATCCAGTTCCATGAGGTTCATCCAATCCAATTCCATTTTCTTGATCCTTTCATCTGTTCCTGACCCAAAGCATGAGTACTTACCAGCTACCTAAGTCACTCTTGACATCTGGACCCTACAGAGTAGAGGAGATGAACAAGGTTCTGAGCTCAGGCTTCCCAGATGCAACTCCAGCTGTGGCACTTAACCAGCTGTGGATTCAAAATCATTTTCCTAAATGAACTCTCATTAGCCCTACACTGAATACTACCAGCACCTCCCCAGTATCTGGTGAAAGTCTTCAAAGCAAAGGAAGTCTGTATTTTAAGAAGACTCTTCCCTGGACCCCAATGGGCAAACCAGCCAAACCAACAGAGCCACCTGTGGTTGAAGAAGGAAGCAGAAGGTGATCTATTCCCTGCATGCATTTGGAAACAAGTAACTAATGAACCCCAGTCTCTTGGTTGTGAACATTCCACGGCTCCAAACCAGCCAGGCTTCCCCCACGTCAGCACCCTACATCCACGCACATCCTATGTGACTTCTCTCCCTGTCGCTGCAAGCAAGCTCACTCTGCCCAATGTCACATCTTCCCTGAGGCCTTCGAGATGCTGACAACTTCAGTCCATCCATCTACTGGGCTGTCTCACCACAGAGACCTCTGTGAGCACCTGTCTCCATCTGAGACCATCTCATTTGTAGGCTTTCACACACCTTGCATTATGCTTGGTCTGCAGCAGACAGTCATACGTGTTTGTTGTACAAATTACCCCCTTGTGTTAGAAGTCATCAGATTAGAAGAGCTAAAGTAATTTTTTGTTGTTCTTTTGAGACAGGGTTCTGCTATATAGTTCAGCTGTCATTGAACTCATTTTGAAGCCCAGGCTGGCCTTGCGCTCCCAGCAGTCTTCCCACCTCAGCCTCTTGAGTGCTGAGATTATGGGCATGCTCTACCATGCCCAGCTGGAGTTCATGCAATTTTTTAAAAAACGTACTTGCTCCCCAGGAAAGGATGCAGTACTAGAGCAGGCTATGTAATGCTCACACCTGCAGAGCAACAGAATTGACAGGAACTTTAAAGGCTATCAATCCTTTTTACAGAACCAAACACCAAATGTCAGAGAGGTGAAGTGATATTCTCAGAGATTTTCAGGCAGTACACATCCTTCCTGAACTACTTGCTTTCTACATGATCAGCCTCTTGCTGGTGTAAGGTCCTCTGTGAGGCCCCTTCCATGAGTCACCAGGAGTGACGAGGGAAGTGGGCTGTGGGTTGTGTGTGGCCTCACCTTACTCTGCGGCAGAATCGTGATGTTCTCGTAGTTGATTTGCCACCAGGGCTCTTTCTTTTGGCTCTGTAGCTTTCCCCGCTGAATCCTTAGAGCTAAGCCTACAATGGCAGCTCCCAAGATGATAACCAAGAGCATCAGGGTGAGCGCCACAACAGTCAAACCTGGGTGGAGAGACAGTCATTATTCAGACCTGCCAAAGAACAGAAGTGAGCCCAACAGGGGCCTGGAAGGCCGCCCAGGCATGCTCCAGCTTAGGACATCTGAGCTCCACTTAGACTCGGCCTCTTCTGGGACTCTCTCCCATAATACTCCTCCAGTTCCCATTGTAATCACACCCATCTCCCCATAAGTATAGAGACCTCCACTGTAGGCAAATAATAATGATGCCTTCTCACCATGACTGCTTTTGCTTTACCTTTACTGTGTTCTCTCCAAAGCATTGTTCTTCAGAAATGATTCTTTTAATTCCAGGACTTGGCTCCTAACCACTGAGCACCACCCTCCTCCACACTTTACCTGTCTCTTAGAGAACAAGTTCCTAAAACTCAAATCTCAAGAACCAGGCCTCCCTACTGCAGAGGTTCTCCATAGCAAAAGAGGGCTATGTTGCCCCTTAGCAGATATTTGGCAACATCTGGAAAAATTTTAGAAGGCAACCAAATGTGACAGCACATGGCTGCTCCTAGCACCTAGTGGGTAGCAGCAGAGAATACTGCTCAAAGCCCTACAGTGTGCAGGTCAGCCCCTTACTACTGTCTTCTCCAAGAGCTGTGCTTACCTGGAAAAGGAGGCTCCACTTTGCAGAATGTATTGTAAAATCCACAGCCAGGTCTGAGTTGGTTTACAGGGAGGAAGCCATGGGGCCAAGTAATGTTGGAGACATTCCTCAAGGGTCTTTCAAGAAGAAAAGGGACAAGGTCAACATCCTCTGGGTTTATTCTACTCCTCTCTACTTCAATTTAACAGGAACAACTGATACACACATGGCATTTACACACCTCTGCTGTCTGGTCCAAGGTTTCCACTTTCTCTAAAGTCTTCTAGTCCACTCTTGGCTAATCTAATTCCTGGAAGTCAACATCTTTTTATAGAGTGGAATAGTTGCCTCAAGTTTTGGATTAAACCATGTTTTTTGGTTAAAAAACAATGTGGCAATTCTCCATTCCCCTTGGCTTTGTAAACATGTTTGTCTGGACCGATCTTATTGTGTAGCCCTTGACATCTTGTCTTATGTGGAATATGCCTGTTCCTACAATCTGAGGACCAAGGTCACAGCAGATGCTTTGAGCCTGGCCCAGCCCACTTTGATACATTACCATTCCCTAAGAGAAAAGGAGAGGGAAGTATTAAGTGGATTTTGGAGGTGGCAGTAGTAGGGGCAAACAGAGGCTAGTTTAATTGTTATGTTTATTTTTTGTTTTCTCATTGATTTGTAGCCCAGAGATTTCTCCCGGGGCCTCTTGGGTACTTGGAGCCCAGGACAGCGCTGAGTGCTAATATCCACCTGTGTCTCCTCCTTCTGGAAGTCAGGCTGTGCAGGCCGGTGGCCTTGCTATGGACCCATTCCGCTAGGGGGCGCTGTGTTCTATCACCCCTTGAGGCCAGGACCTGTTTTACTGGGTCAGCAGAGGATGCCTCGCCCTAGGGGTATTGGGTTCTGATCTGGAATCTGAAATGGCTGCAATGGAGGACAAAGTCATGTTAAAGTTCCAAAGTCCGCCTTTGTGAGTTCAGGGAGCACCAGCCTACTTGTGGGGTGATTCTAGGGCCTGGGTCCCTGACCTCCCTCTCCTCCCAGAGCTCTTCCTGTAGGGTGATCAAAACTTGCAGTACCTGATCACTTTCTCATAACTGTCATAATGAAGGAAAGGGAGGAAAACAGATCCATTCCCAGATCTCCGCAGGGCATAGACAGAGTAATCCATGAGCCTTTCTCCCCGGGAGTCCACAAACACAGGGCCAGTTACTCCTGAAAAGAGAAGATTCAGAATAGGAGAGGAAAAGGAATAAGGGAGGGAGGGAGCGAGAGACAAGAGGAGGGAGGGAAAGAGAGACAGAGACTGACTGGCTCTTGGCTAGAAATGGCACGCTTCCTTGACCCGAGTCCACAGCCCTTTCCCATGAAATGCCAGGTGAGAGGTTTCAACCATCTCAAGGCATTTTAGCCAAGATCAACAGGCAGCATGCAGGGCAGAAGACAGTTCAGCAGCAGCCTTCTGGTTGGGCTTTAGGGCCACACTAGACAGGGGGTGTGTTTTGCTGAGCCTATGCAAAGAAAGGTGGCACAGTCTGTAGTTAATTTACTGAAACCACAAACAGTAAGATGTGACAGTGAGAGGCCCAGAAGCCACTTGGCAGCAGTGGGCTGGGAGCTATCTCCTCTGGGTCCCGCTGCTCCAGCTGTCAGGCCCCAGAGCTACACAGCTTTGCGAGCTTCCCTCTCAGGCTGTGCCTTCCCTCCAGGCTTGGGTATGCACGGAGCTTGGGCAATGCCCTCGGCCCCCAGCCAGCAAGTTCCTTGTTCTTGTGTACAAATCTCTCAACCCCACTCACTAGTACTCACATCGTGCTGCCGGTGACAGGACACAGCAGTAGCATTTATGAAGCACCTACAATGGGCTGAGCATTGTTATGAGGTGAGCTGGGGTCTAGTTCCAGTTGATCCTGTGGAGGAGGCGCCATCACCCACTCTGGGCAAGGGGGCACTAGAGCCGCAGTGCCTGGGTACCTCCCCGGCCAGGCGAGGCAGAGGTGGAGCGCAGCCCCAGGCACCCTGGGCTCTGCAGTCAGCCCCGCCTCCTGCCCACACAGGCGTCAGGAGAGTCCGGCCTCCAGCCCTTAGTTTTATTTGTGATGGCTGCAGCTAGAAACCAGCTGAGTGAGAGCCAACCTGGGGAAAAGGGGGCAAGGGGAAGGAGCCCAGAGGCCTCCTCCAGTGGGAGGGACAGGTGAGTGGGCCACGGCAGCTGGGGGACTTGAACGCCAGCCACACTTACAAAAGGCTGGGACCTGCCTGAGAAAAGTGAGTACTGTAGCTCTAGCTCAGTGTGCGGCAGGCCTGTGATCACTCACCTGCAGCTCAAAGGCCACAGGGATGGGGGCAGCAGCTGAGTTCAGGACCCCTCTCCCCCAGCACCATGCCGCTGCTCACCCTGCAGTAGAGTCTGATTGGCTCTCAGGGTGCTGAGCAGCTCCCGCCCATCTCGAAAGTCTCTCCCAGCCTTTATCGTTTCTTCCACTGCCCAAGCGTAGAGCAGAAGGGCATCATGCAGGTAGGCAGCATAGGGGCTCACCTTGGAGAAGAAGGGAAGGCAGCGAGGATGGGCCTGGGCCTCCATCACTTGACTAGGAGTCCCTCCACCCTGTGAGGGCTGACCTGGCCCATGTTCTTTGTCCAGATCCCAAGAGGGGAGGCCATCTCCAGCCTGGGCCTGTACTGCTGAAGTTGGCTGTCCCCATCTCCACCTCTCCTCCCGTGCCTCAGTTTCTCACTTAGATCTCATGATCTGTCCACTCAGGAGTGACTCTGCAAGCCATAGCCAGCAGAGAGGATGCTTTAAGTGAAAGAGGAAGAGTTTGGAGCCAGTCTGCCTCTGCCACTTCCTGGCTGTGACACCAGAGTAAGTTTTGTAATCTCTGATTATAAAATGGGATCAAAACCACTCTATGAAACATGAAGACAGCTAAGTCAGGTAAACTACCCATCACAATGCCTGTGACCAATAGTAGCTCTTCAAAACATGCTCTTCTATTGGTTTAGCCAATGACAATGCAAGCACCTAGTGAGGGCTAGGCACAGTTCTCCTACAGCAGCTGGAGCAGAGCCGATAGTCAGTAGACTGTTCCCCAGTCAGTCACTCACCGATCGTCAGGTCTTGGATGTTAGGCTCACAATTAGCCCTCGATTCTAATCACGCCCAGTTCTCAGCTTGATCCTGCACTGAAAGTGGCTCCAAGTCAGCCTACCATTAGCTCTGAAAAATCCCCTATGGAAGTCGCTTTACTGCATCATTCATGCATGAGCCGACTCCCACTGGCTGATATGCTCTTCTGACTCTCCCTGCAGCCCAGCTGCTCTCCTGGCCTTGACTGTCCTAGCCCCGTGTCTGGGACTGCTCCTACCTAGCTCTCCAGCCAAGCATCTTACAGGTGAAGGCAACAGACCTGACCTGAGTACCGGCTGATATCTGTTCAGCTATCTCCACCTGGTATGTTGTTAACTCCTTAGAACCACAGCCTGGGTGTTAGATGCCATTAGCAGATGAAGAGACAGAGGTATAAGGACATTAAGCAGTTGACTCCAAACTTCCATGGTTACTTAATTGCAAAAGTAGGATGGAAGCCCAGGGACCTGACTCCAAAGGTCCGTGGCCTTCCATCCCATAACTTCTGTCCCCCTCTGTGTTTGTGGAGTGTAGATTTCACAGGAAAGCATCAAACCAGTGTTTATTTTGGACCTTGGGAATGAGGAAGAGTGTGTTTGTGTGTGTGTGTGTATGTGTGTGTGTGTGTCTGTGTGTCTGTGTGTCTGTGTGTGTGTCTGTGTTTATGTTACGGGGTGGGGGCAAAAGAAAGATAATAAGAGAAATGAAAAGTCAAATACAAACAAGGTCAAGGAATGGAAGGTGTGGCTGACCTGGTCCTCTGAGGTGATGGTGCTATGGAAAGGGGGCCCCCGCAGCCTCTGGTACACTTCTTTGAGGAAGTTGTCCTCTTCAGGGCCTTCCCTATAGGAGCCCAGGGTGATGAGAAGCACTGACTCGTAGACTATCGGGAAATGTGTCCCCTTCTGATTTGTCAACAGCTCCTTCCAAAACCTGTCCTAAACAGTAATGAAATGAATGTCACCACTCTTCTGTAGGAGATGGGAGCTGCATGTGAGGCAAAACTGAACTCGAACTGCTCCACACTAGTCCTTGGAAACACAGTGTTTCCAGGAGGCCTGCAATACAAGGTCCACATTTCCTAGCCAGCAGAGAAGCAGGGGGAAAAAAAGCCAAAAAAGAAATGAAAACCAAAAACATACCCAGGGCATCAGGCAGCTAAGATACAGAAAGCTCCTAACAATGAGCACAAAAGTTCAAGGGTTTAGGATTATCTATCCTTAGTCTTCTCATTGCTTAAGTATTTTGTTACCATTTCCTATATCATCACCTGCACTCTTACTATCATGAATAATATGTATTCACTCATTGCATATTTTCTTTCTTTTTTTTTTTTTTTTTGGTGGAACCGGGGATTGAACTCAGACCTTTGCACTTGCCAGGTAAGTGCTTATTCCACTGAGCCATCTCCCCGGCCCCTCATTGCATATTTTCAACAGCTCCCTCTCTCCCCACCCTGAAAGGTAACCAAACAATAGGCAGGTACAAAGGTGTGTGTGTGTGTGTGTGTATGTGTGTGTGTCTGTGTCAGTGACTGTGTCTATGTTTTGTGCTACACTGTGGTTCTGAACTTTCATTTTTCTCCCACTTTATCCTGCCCTGGGAATATTGCTATAGGATAGGTTGATGCATTCTTTTTAGAAGCAGCATGAATTCAATTTGCATGGAATTTGCGTGGTGTAGCAGTGCATTTTTAGTTCAATGCTCTTCCTGCCATGTCAAACTAATTGGAATGGATCATCAAGGTCTAGGGAGGAAGCAAGAGGGGGTGGAATAAAAAGAGCCGATGGGAGGATACGCTGGCAAGTCTGGCACATATTTAGAATTCCAGCTGTGACCCGAAGGAATCTGAGATTCTTTTAGCCATCTAAAATATTTCACAATAATGAAAAGAAGTCTGTGACATTATTTTATCTTTTCCTTTACTTCCCTTTGCTCCAGCTGCTTATGATCATGTAAAACAAGCTCATTTTAGAAAGCTAAAGCTTCTGGAAAAAAATTATACAACGTGCCCTTAGCTCAAGGCAAATGCTTGATTGAGTGTCTGCAGGAAGACGTGCTGACGTGCACAGACGCCAAGTCCAGTCTGCATTGGGCTAGAACACCTGCCCTCCCTCATACTAGCTGTACACCTGGGGCAAGCTATGTAAACTCCATGGGCCTCAGTTTCCCCTTCTTAATGACATACCTACCCCACAGAGTGCTGGGATTGGAAATAAATTATAATATATCAAGCACTCATAGCGAGGCCTAGCACCTCGGAAGAATTCTCTAAGACAGGGCTGGGTGGGGCGAAGGACAAAAGCCCCAGTTTGGAACACCAGCTATGCAACTTGGGAGTGCTGAGGACTTAGACAGGTGCTCTACTTAGCCAATCCTTGGCTTTTCTAGTTACAAGTTCTATGTTCATCACATCTATCTTCTAAGGCTGTTGGAATTATTACGTGCAACGATACACATAGAATCTGCCTCACAGCGCCACTGGGCCCTCGTGTCCAACAATGCATTTGAAATGTGCAACTCAGTACCTGTGGGAAGCCCATAGTACTAAGGCTAGTTCTTTCATTACCAAAAAGCCAAACTGCCTACAAATACCTGTTATAGGTTAAGGCTAGAATGATGGGATGACGGGGTGCTATGCTTATCAATGGACTTATTCATGGGTGTGTTCAGCAGTTCATGTGCTACTGGAAGGCTGGGCCTATTTAGAGAAATAGGTCACTGGGACCATGATGTGGGAGGGCGTGGTCCTGTCCCTGATCTCTTGCTCCATCCTCCTCTTTCTCCTCTTCTCTCTCTCTCTCTCTCTCTCTCTCTCTCTCTCTCTCTCTCTCCCTCCCCCCCCCTTCTGCCCCATACTGGGAATCAAACTCAGGACCTTGCATTTACAAGGCAAGTGCTGTGCCACTGAGCTCTATCCCCACCCCCATCTCTCTCCCCCTCCATCTTTCTGCTTCCCTGACTGCCATGAGATGAGCAGCCTTCATCCACCGCACCTTTCTGCCATGCTGTTTTTGCCTCGGAGGCAGCCACCCATGCACTGAACCTTCTGAAGCTGTGACCCAAAGTAAAGCTCTCCTTTAAGTTGTGACTGCTGGGTATTTTGTCTCAGCAGCAAGCAAGTACGTAATACATCACCTCCTTGAACCCGTATGTTACTCTCTCCAGGCCCTTGTTAGGGCTTTACTTAGTAGGGGCAGAGGGAGGTGGCTGAGGAAGAAAAATGAGAGCCATTTGTCTTTGAGAGTCCTATGGGAAGATGTTGTCCACCTTCAGAAATGATGATAGTTCTTCAGCTGGAGTCTGCTGACCTGGAGTGCAAAGTGGAGTCTCCAGAGCCTCACTGGAGACCTGGCCTGGCCTCTCACTAACTGTGCAGAAGAATTCTGGGTACATTCTTTCAGCTCAGTGCTAGTGCCTTGATTTTAAGATGCAGGCTCAAAAGTGCCTACCTCTGAGGTTTGTAATGCCGATCTGGTGAACTAGGCTATCTTGACACATAGACTAGGTCAACACCCACCTCCAGCTGCTGCAAAATGATGAAGACAAATTCTCCAGTGCTGAGTCCCAGGTTCTCTGCAGCCAGCAGAATAGTCTTTGCATCCTCTGAGCTGCAGATCAAGACGATAACTACAAGAGGGGAAACAAGCCAGCCAGTTATACACGCTTGCATGTACTCACACTCTCTCTCTTTTTAAAGCCTAGCCTAAAGCCACTACAAACAAGGTGCAAACTTTCTTTTGATGAACCTGCTTCAATAAAGAAATGTTTAAAGGGCCAGCAAAATAGTTCAGCAGATTAAAGCACCTGCAAACAGGCACAGGGGCCGGGGGTTCAATCCCTGGGCCTGCCATGCCAGCCCCACCCCTGGGCATGCTAAGATGGTGATTGAGACTGGGCACGGTGGCACATGCCTATAATCCCAGCTCTTGGGAGGCTGTAAACAGGTGGATCACTACAAGTCTGATCTAGTAGTGAGGCCCTGAACACCTTGCAGACCCTTCCCTAAAATACAAAAAAAAAAAAAAAAAGAAAGAAAAAATATCTAAACCACACCCAGTGTTTATTTCTTAAACCAAGCCCACAGCATACAAACTGACCACTTTTACCCCACAGAAGTTGACGTTTTTCTGGCAGTCCTTGCTCCTCTGCCACAATGCACAAGTCCAAAATGTTTGAGACCATTTCCGTGCATTGTTTTCTTCCATTTAACTCCTTCCCCCCCAAAAAAAATCCAGACTAACAGGCAGATAGATCTTTCTTAAATGAGAAGAGGACCAAGAGATGGAGGAGGGAAGGGAAAGGGAATGAAGAAAGGAATTAGGATCTGCTATATACATGGATCAGCTCCATACAAGGAATGCAAGCATCATTTACTGAGATGTGTGTGAACATAAATTTTAAAAACCAAAAATAAAATAAAATACCCCCCCCCCAATCGACCTGGCTTGTGATTCATCATCCGTACCTCAGCTAAGAGCAGATTACAGAGCATCAGAAGCCAAAGCCTTTCAGCTCTCTGAGCTGGGATGGGCCGCAGAGAAGTAGCCATGATGTTAATCTCTCACTCAATCACAGCATCATTCACTTTGAGGACATACGATTGAACTCCTGATTTATTTTTTAGATTAGATGAATAATAATGTATTTATGTAAAGGCCAACCATGTGTTAAGCACTGTGTGAGGCTATGGCAGGCGCAAGGCAGAAAGGCCTGAGGAGTCACAGACAGATAGACAGACAGACAGACAGACAGACAGACAGACAGACAGTGTACAAGCAGAAAGATTGCAGTGCTCACTTAAGGCTCTCCTGGTAGCGAGGGAGGAGAGGAAGGATGCCATGTCCTAAATGGAGAAGGGAACAACTCCACATCAGATAAAGAAACTGTCCCTGGACAGCAGGGCAGTGCTGGGCGGGGAGTGCTGTGGACAGCGCTCTCGGATGAGCCTTATAGTCCCGAGGCCATGAAGAGCTTAGTTTCTTTAAAGAACAGAGTCAGTGACTGAGAAAGCGCCTTCTAAGTCGTACCACCATGGAAGCAGCTGCTGCCATCTGTTAATAAATTGCTTGTCCACACAGGTGAGTGTGGCCTTCCTTCATCCTGGCCTTCATCCGAACAAGCAAGGATGCAATAAGATATCTCAGGCACAGAGAGGTTGAAGCTTTGGGCCAGGAGAACAGAGCTAGCAAGTGTTGGGCATTGAAATCCAATGCTCTGATCAGCTACCAAAGCAAAGGCCAGGACCTGGCCCCCTGGAATGTGCTTCTAGAACCATTTTCTGCATCATGACACCTGACATTTCACTGTAGACAAAAAAAAAAAGTGGTATCAAGCAAATTAGGAAATTACTTTCGTATATCACTAATTTTATACTCTGTTTCTATTGGATTTTTATACTCTTAGAAAAAAGTAAGAGTTCTTGCTTTGTTCTTTTTAAACATCTGTTTGTCCTATTTCTCTTTTCAAGCACATGCCATGGAAGACTCATCTACTCACCCCTGGCCAGTGACGACATGTTCCTGAGAGCCTCCTGGAGGAGGGCGGGCTCACGGCTGGTGCATCTCATGCTGGCAGCGATGGTGAAATGGGCCTGGAGTTCGTTCTCTACGATGGTCCACAGTTTATCCAGCTCATCCCAGGAGGAGGCCGAAGAATAGCTCCCAAACATGCCAATGTGCTCCCAGCCCAGGTACCAGAGACTTTTCTGGAGCACATCACCAATTTCCTGCTTGGGTGGCACAAGTGTCACACAGGTGTCATACAAAAAGTGGTTTTCCAGTATTGCCATTTGTCCAACAAAGTCAAACACGGGGATGTTCCACTCAGAGGCCAGCAAACCAATAACCTTAAAAGTAATGAGAAGGATATCTTTCCATAATGCAATGTATTTTACACTCAAACCACAGTATAAAGTATTGGCATAACTTGGGACTTAGTAAATCTCAGATCACAATGGACCTTCTCTTATGGAATACTGATGACAACGTGTTGAATCCAGTTTTCAGAAGCAATACCTCAGAGGACGAGGATAACAAAGGCAAGGATTTATTGAGTGTTTGCTATATGCCAAGCACTCTACTAAGAGACTGTATTTTTCATCTTTTATTCATTTCTATTAGGTAGGTGTTAGTCTCATTTTAGAAATAAAGACATGGAGACATGCAGATGTAAGTTACACAGCTAATGAACAGTAGAGCATTGTTGAAACTCAACATTACACATGAGCTTCCTACACATCACAGAGAGCTTTGGAAACCTTGTTCTTAAAGAAGCTTATGGCCTACAGGAACTAAGCTGTATAAAAATAGCTGTAGAATTAAAAACAACCTACAGGATTTACAGAATGTATTTATAGGAGTTTAGGGAACTAGCAAATTACTTTAAATTGAGGAATTAGGGATATGGACAGTAGGGTGTCCCAATACTTGAGGCTGACCTTGAAGAAGAGGTAAGCTTCAGACAGACAGAAGGATGCCCATGGGGAATTCTAAAACAGACCAAGATTCAGATGAAAGTGTAAATGTGAACGTAATCTTACAGCACCAACTAATGATAATCTGAGATGTTGGGGAGAGAGACCTGTGATGCTCCTACATCATCACACTTGGCAGCAACATCTCTCAGAAGATGCAATTCTCTAGGACGTTGACCATGTTCATCTCACTGACCGAATACGAAGCACTCATGTCCCTCTTTCTCTGGCTCTAGCTCAAAGCAATCCATCATACTTTATTCTTTCACATTTACTTTCACAACTACTGAATAATATATTACGTATGCCAAAGAAAAACCTCCTCAAACATTGATAACTTGATATTTAAAACCACTCGTTTTCATTGTAATTTTCCTGAGCCACGTGGCTGACAGCCTAAGAGTGAACAATAGTCTCTACACAGAAGCACCAAGTTCAATCAGTCAACCAGAGAAGGAAGAGGAGATACGAAGGAAGAGTTTTTTTACTTAGAAGGCTTTTTTAATGAGAATATTGGGTCAGCGAGATAGCTCAGCAGACTAAGCAACTGCTTTGGCAAGCACACTGGTCCTGCATGCTGTGCCGGCCTGCCCCTGAGGTGCTTTGAACTAGCAAATGAGTCTGGGCGTGGTGGCGCACACCTGTAATCCCAGCGTTGGGAAGGCTGAAAACAGGAGGATCAGTACAAGTCAGAGCTGCATAGTGAGACCCTGTACCAAATACATTTTTTTTAAACGAGAGAAAGAATATTAGCTATTTTAGCTACATGATAAAATTACATCCAGAAAATAGCACTCAAGCCTTATACAGTTACATTACAACAATGAGATCTTTATGAAAAGGTTATTCCAATCTGTGCTACCAAGTTCTAGACCTTCTGTTCCAATGGAAAGCCAGCCACCATTTTTTAGAAGGTTGAGTACTCTACCTCTGCTGCTTCTGGGCATGCTGGTCCAAACAGGGCAGCAATCTGTTCTTTCTGGACCTGGTTGATGAACGCAGCAAGAGACTCCTTGGTGCTGCAGGCTGAGTTGGTAGAAATGAACTCCCAGCTGAGGTTTCCAAGTCCCACTGGCTTTGCATTGACCTTGTCCAGGGCAATCTGGAGGCCTGCCCCCAGCCTCTGCATGCTAAATGGGTAGGAGATGTTCCACGGGGCATGGAAGCCCACAGTGAGTTTAGCAGCTTCAATCCAAGTCACCAGCATAGTGGCAAACAGCGTCAGCACTAGTGCTGTGTGGTCTATGTGGCATTCTGTCCCCCAACAGAGCCTTGATTCTAGAGGTGCCTTAGGACCTATCCTGAGAGCCATGGGTAGCATCTAACACAAGACACTGCAGAACATTGAAAGGCTCAGCCTCCTGATCACTCCTGCCAGGAATTTATAGGACAGTGAAGTGGTCCCTGGGGACTGCAACTGGCTTTCTATTCAGTGCCACTAATTAACTGAAAGTCTTCCTGAGTTTGTCCTCACATGATCCAGAAACAGCAGACTCATAGAAAAAGGCAGAGCAGGGAGTCATCAAGGCCTTGGTTATTGATCCAGGGACTCTATTCATGGCCTTCATGTTCCTGGGGGAATCACATGACCCCTTTTCACCCGGTAAAGTAGGAGTCTTAGGAGCCACTCCAATGTCAGATGGCTTGGGCTAGACTTTTGAGTGTACCAACTATTACCCGTGTGACCTAGAATACCTCCCCTGTGTAAAAATGCGACAAAATAAAGTCTTCCCTACACTGATCTGTTGAGGATTTAAAGTGCTAATACAAGTCTAGACTTTGGTAAAATGTCTTCCCAAAGAGCCATTTCAGCGGTGATTTGATAATGGTGGTGGTGATGATGTAATATAATGATAACAGTTAATAGTGATGAAGAGTATCATGGTTATAATGACAATTACTATCATTATTGAGTGTACTTTATAGGAACTTTTCCTAGAATGAGAGTGTTAATCACTGTGAAAAGATTTCCTCATAACCAAGCATGGTCTGTTTCCTTTGCCTGGGCTTAAGACACCATGGATTGGCCACTCATGGGTGAATAGTGACCCTCAGTCTACATGGGTCAGGGACAGGTCTTCATTTTCCGATGGATCACAGGGTTGGTGGCCCTCTTGAGAAGCCAATGCTGTCCCCAGGCATAAGGGCCCACTCATGAGCCAGATGTAGCCTACAGGACTGAATTGTCATCTGTCATGGACTTTCTTATGGTTCTGTCTAGCAATGAAGGAGCTGGCATCTCACACTCACCTCAAGATTAGGTGCTTTAGCATGGTATATGTTGTGCGATTCTCAAGACTTGACCTGTATCACTCTCTCCTGGTGTTAGAAATACAGATTCCAAGGCCCCAGTGCAGCCTTCTAAACTAGAATATTTTGCAATTGCTCTGGGAATCTGCACTGCATCTGTATCCCTAAATCAACTAATTTTGAGAAACCATGACAGTTTGAAGTGAGAGGGAAAGAATAGCCAATAGCCATTGTCTACTTGTTTTCCTCAAATAGGATTAAAGACCTGTAGTCCTGACATATCTCAGAGGGACATCTCTAAACCAGTGGCGTAGGGAGATTGCTTCCCTCCAAGTCAAATTCAGTATAACTGCTTCTTCACTGAGCTGTAGCTTCTTTAGACCAGTCAGTTTACAAAATCCTGAGTACAAAGATTCCTTGCTAAAGCCAACATTTTGGCCCTAGCCTTCCAAGGTCAATTAAGACTCAGGACATATGAGAACTTGTAATGTAACGTTATGTAACTCAGTAGTGTCCCAAATTTTCTGATCAAGGAGATTATGGGGCCAAAGAGGAAAGTGATCGATGATGTAGAGTGTGCCTAAGGAGAGTCACATGGAGAGAAAACATTCTCTCAGGCTTTCACAGAGAGCACATTGGCCAAGCAATGGCCGTGACTCATCCACATGGCTGACACTGACAAAAGATCTACAATCTGAGGTACAGGATCTCAGGATAAATCCTGAGGGGATTTCACTGACCTTATCAGACCCAAAAGCTACAACTCTTGTTGCATAGGTCCTGCTTTACCTTGGTCTTAAACATCCAGCAGAAAAGTACAAAAACAAAGTATAAGTAAAGCCATGCTGTTATGTTGAGCTGCAGGGGGCGCAGGTCAACAATTTCTGACATTGCAGTGAAGCAGAAGACCCAGTACTCTTATGGACTACTGGACTCTTTTAGAATATTTTGCTGAGTTAACACACCTATAAGATCCAAATAATGGAACTTAACAAAATAAGGGGATACAGATGAATGTCCATTTTGTATCTGTGTACTCAAAATGGCTAGGATAGATGTATAGTTACATTCTCTTGATGAATAGAGTGATTTGTTCTAATAGTGTTTGTAAATAGGATATCATGTCCACATCTTGTACAGCAATTAACCACTAGGAAGAATGTATGCAATGTGTTAATTATTGAAACTGTCCTACCGATTTGGTTTGAAACTATCTTATTGCTATTTGTTTCTCAATAAAATTAGGGGGAAAAAAGATTCCTTGCTGTAATACAGACAGAATACAGTGGATCTTTTTTGGCTCAGATGTATGTCAGATATACTACATAGTCTTGGATGAGTCAGTTAAATCATTTCCTCTGTTTCTTCAATTTTAAAATAAGCATAGTATATCCTTCTCAGAATGATATTGCAAGATATTGTGAGATTACATTATTATCATACCACCCTGTACAGCATTGGTAAGATAATTTGGTCATTACAAAAACTATTATCTCAAAACTATAATGCTGGTAACTATATTATTATACATGTATTCCCTCTCTGGGTAATCTTTGATTCTTTGTGCATTTGAGTTGCTTTTCTCCTGAGAATCTTTGAGGCAAGTAACTGCATGTCTGTCTTTGGAGACTCACATCCAACACAATGTTGGATAAGCACACAAGTTTCTTTATGTAAGCACACAGACTTATACTGATCATCAATATAATTATAAATATTTTGTGCTCTAAAGTGCTTACAAGTGAGCATAGCCTAAACCAGAAGATATTACCAATGATGTTTGGTGTTAGTGGGCATTTAAGAAACAGATTTATATTGCTAGTAGCAGTGTTACTTACAGAATTTTTTCAATAACATTCCACAAACCTTAAGAACTGTGCATTTTTGACTCAGAAATTCCAATTTTGAGGACTGAATATAAACAAATAGGATCATAACAGATTTAACCCCAAATAGACACATTTTCCAACACACACACACAAAAAAAAAGTAGACAGAAACTCTTTAGGGGACTAGATAAATGTGACTCTACAGTCATTTAACCCCAAAATCATTAAAAATAATTTTTCAAAAAATTTGGTATGAGTCCTGAACCCAGGGCCTCGTGTTTGTTAGACAAACCCTGCACCACTGAGCTAAAGCCTCAACTTCAAAAATGATATTTTAAAAAATGACATTTAGGGAATGGAAATTATGGTTAGTGTTTCCCTTGCTTTGCTTATTTTTTTCTGCCTTAATATTTGCAATAAGGAAGAACGTAATGTTTTAATTTAAAAAGTGAAAGTGTAGGGTATGTCAGTTGTAACTTCTCTAAGAAGATGAGAGACAGAAAAGAGGGTTTTTTTGCCTACTTGTAATAAAGCGAGATAAAACCAGACAAGTCTGTAACAACTTGTCTTGTTCTTCTGCAAGAGCAGGAAAGGCAAGAGGCATGAGTACACATCTCCTGGTGTGTTCTGGGAAAATGCACCAACTTCGGTTTCCCTCAGCAAGACCATGCAAGCCTCATTTCCATATCGGTGAAGTGGAGAAAGGGCAGAAGACTGGTCCCTCGGATCTGACCCCTACAAGCCCAAGGCCCTGGTGGATTCTTGAATACTACTGCATGTCCTGGTGGTTGATGGCAGCAGGACAGGTCTGGCTTACAAGTTTTTAAAGGGAACATTCTTGAAGTTCTACTTGAAAACTGAGTTGGACAAGAGCTGAATCAAATTTCCCCTTAAGGTCAACATTGAACCTAACCATGGATTTGGGAGATCTGTTCAGCCAAGGTTGGAAGAGCTGATGGAAGCGGAGTCAACATTGAACTTGGATATTTCATATCTTAGGCCTGCAGCAAAGCAAATTCCTCAGGATTCCAAGCCAGTCCTTTAGATAATCATGCATGCACATGCTACTTCCAGAAGTCTGAGGTCAAGATATGGCCCCTGATGACAGATAAAAGCAGTCTGGTCTTATTTCTAGTAGTGATTGTACAAGAGGAAGAAGTCCCCCTCCTGTGGACTCTAACTGTCTGCTGTGAGCCTCGACTACCTGATATTTACCCTGCACCGCCCAGACTTGTTTCCACAAGGAATGAGTGTTTAGTGCCTGAGTGTATACTTGGGAAAAGCTAGAAGATTGGTCTTGACCAAATGCCAGATTTGTGAATATTCATTTCCTAGTCTCTGATACTGTCTCCCAGATTACTGCTCTACCCTTTCACTATAAGGTGGTAGCACGAAGGGCAAAAATCTCTCAGAAGGGAACAGGAAGGAGGGAAAGATGCCTGCTCCCATGCTCAATATCCAGTGACACTTAATGATGAACAATGATGCTATTAATACGAAGCTACTTCCATATAATTTTAGGTTTTCCAATCACCTATTGCTGTCGTAGTGTCCCATATACTGAGTGAATGTGTCTTAATACAGCTTTCTCTGCTGATGACATGACTTTGAACCATGAGAATGTTTCTCCATCTGCACCAGTGTGTGACCTGTGTGTCACCAGGCCTGGCGTCTGGCCCTTCTCTCTGGTGTGCAGCCATCAGCGTCAGGCAGGATGTCCCTCTGGCTCCTTTATCCTGTTCCACATCTTGTCCGGAGACACCAAAGCCCTCCCACTTCCTGGAATTTCCTCTGCTCTTGTTAAAGGCTCCCAACTAGTTTTCCAAGCAGGCACTCAGCTCTGCCCATGCTGTGAGGCCAGGGAACCAAGACTGCAAAGCAAAGGATGATGTAGTCAAAGGCTTGGCAGAGGTGTTGGCATCCGCTCAAAGTACTGGTATTCCCGCTTGTGACTCAGGGTCAATGGCCCTGGCCACTACTCTCCTGTAGGAAGCAGTGCTGAAGAATGTTTGTCAGCATCAGTTCTGCAAAGAGACTTAAGCTAGTTTGGACAAGTTATATGTTATCTGAACTTCATTCTCTTCATCTGTTATTGCCCTAATTACCTATGAGAGGATTAAATGGTGTAATAGACACATAACACACAGCGTAGTGTTGCAAGGGGCTGCTATTGCCATCAAGAAGAATACAGGGGCTGGTGAGATGGTTCAGTGGTCTAAAGCACCTACTTGGAACAAGCTTC